GGATAGTACGTCTTGTGAAAGTCCCTGCCGTCGCTGTGGATCGTCCTCTGGCATTCGCGCTCCTCGGTCGGGGCGCGCGCAGCCGCCTGCGTCAGCGGAGAACGTTGGGCACGCCAGGCCAGCCAAGCCTGTCAAGTCCTCTCCATTACCACAATCGTCTGCACCGCCGCCGCTGAGTAACAATGAGCTCGCGCAGCGTCTCTGGGCGCCCCAGGAGATAGCTCACCGCGACACTTTCGCCAGCGAGCACACGGCCCCTGGGCCCGCTCGCAAGCCGTCTCCGCCAACCGCCCACGCGACAGACTCTGCAAACGCACGCCTGCCGCAGAGCCCACCGCCGTCGCCACGCGACCCACTTCTCCTCCATTCTCGTCGACGCCGAACAGGCTCTTCGCATCAACAACTGCCTTCCCCCTGGTTCGCGTCGTCCGAGCCGCCTTCGCAATCCCGGGCGTCTTGGCCGTCCATGGGGGAATCCCTGGGAGCGACCTTGCCCTCCTGAGCGTTGATTCACACGATGGCGCAGCCTCTGAGCCTGAGGGCGGCGCTTGTCCTTCAGCGCGAGCCACACCTTCTTGGGATACTTCCGTGGCGAAGTGCATAGAACTCACCTGCCAGTAGTAGCATCATTCGCATTCGACTTCCATATACAACTATCAGCCTTCAGACCACAAACCGCAGCACGAACACACATAGTATCTGCCAACTTCCCAGCCGCGCCAACCCTGTCGACGTCCGCCTGGGTCGCCCCATACTCCTTGACATTCGCTTTGATCTCTGCTGCCACCAGGAGTCGTAGTCCACGTTGAACTTTGCCTCCTGGCGCCTTGTCGGCCGTCGAAAGCTCCTTCGGCTTCGCTTGGAGATCGCTCAGTCCGACCCCGCACTCGATGAAGTAGCAATCGCCTTCGCCTCCGAGATCACGTCACTGCAAGCACTGTAGCCATGGCGCCTGATGTGGCGCCCCGGGCACTTGCGGTCGCGGTGCACCTCCTCCTGCCGCCGGACGTCGCTGTGACGCAGTAGCTTCTTGGACTGCATGGTCGCCTTCTGGAAGTTCCTGTTTCGGTTGCGATGGCTGCGCTGGCTGCGTAGGCGTCGGTGGCCCGCCCCCCTCTGAGGCTCGTCGCCACAGTGAAGCCCCAACTCCCCATGCACTCTGCGATTTCGCCCCCTCCTTCTCGCGCTCTTTGCTGGCCCCGAAGGCCCGGCTGACAATCACACCAAAAGCAAGCGCAAGGTCCGGTCACGATGAGCTCCCGCCGGCGCGAGATCCCCGCGAAGCGCGCCAACCCCTCCCCCCCCGCCCTCGCCACTGCCAAAAAAAACACGCTGCGTTGCCCACGCCGATACCTCTTCAGGCTGGAGCCAATGCGGTGGGGCTCTCTGAAGATGCCATCGCGGGACTAGGTCTGGGCCCTCGATAGCCTCGCCGCTCGAACCCCTCGGCGCAAAATCCCACCCTGCGCTTGTTCACGAACTTTGGAAACTCGAGCCAAATAAGCCGCCAGTTCCTCACCGTCCCTCAGCATACACCAACACGGCATCATCGAACCCTTCTGATAGTAAAGCATATTCCCGCTGGTAAATCGTACTTCACGATGGCCTCAACTCCCGTCGTCTTCACAGTCCCCCGCATCGTAGTTGATGGCCCCTGTCGTTCTGATCACATCCTTGCTCAATTCTGAGTTCATAATCAATCCAGGCAATGATGGTGGTTTTTGCGCGACCATGGCGAATATGTCACCCGCACACAAAGCTTTAGAGATCATTTTTTTATTCCGGCCGGTAACGCTCGTTACCCAGGGGGGGGGGGGGGGTCGGGCCCCCCGGGTAACGGTAACGCTTGGGCTGGGCGGGGTATGGCGAAGCAGGGGCGCTCTGCGATCGCCATAGTATGCGCGCGAGCAGCACTCTCTGCCTGAGAGCACCACAGTGGCTTGCGATTCGAGTACAAGCGCAAAGCCCGCCGCGTGGTCCCGGCACCACGCCCGCGCCCGCGCGCGCGACGACGATGATCGACGAGCGACGAGCGACGAGGTCGACGACGACGACGACGACGTTTGCCGCCTGTTTCGGCCTCCGGAGGCCGTTTTCGGGCGCCGTCGACGACGACGACGACGACGACGACGACGACGACGACGACGACGACGACGACGACGACGATTCGAGTACAAGCGCAAAGCCCGCAAGCACCAGCATCGCGCATGCGAGCGCCGCAATGGCCTGCGAGCGCCCACAGTGCGCCTGCGACCACCACACCACAGTGCGCATGCCTTCGGGCACCAGCATGTTGGAGGGGAAGACCGAGACCCCCCCCGCGCACGAGCGTTACCGTTACGGGGGGGGGGGGGGGGAGAGGCCCGGGTAACGAGCGTTACCCCCCAGAGGATAAAAAAACAATCTCTTAGCACATGCCATGCGTAAAAACAGTCGTCGCTGTCGCTCTGGCTTGCCATCGCGCACACCATCTGGCAATCCAGCCCTCCTGGGAGCTTGATCGCCAATGTAGTGTGTGGGGCATGGTGCCGGCGTCGATCCCGCGTCTGCGCTGACTAGGACCTCCGCCTGCATGCCCCCCTCCTGGAGCAAGGTATCCGCAATCTCGAAGATCACGAACGTAGCCGACTCACCACAAGCCGCTGCCAAGCATTGCTGTGCCGTCCTGTAACCTTGAACTGTGGCGCACACGATCACAGGCGGATCCTCATAAGAGCGGTCAAGTACTGATGGCGCCGCCCAGATTGTCGTAGCACCCCACTCCGATTGCACCGACCTGGGCGTCGCCTCCTTCGGTGCAGTATTAGGCCTCGCAGCAGGCGAGGCACTCGTAGTAGTATCATGTCCAGCAGCACCGCACAGAACTCGAAGCTGTGCCGAAACCTGCTTTTGAGAAGGTACATACCCCGCTTTGTCGATCTCCCCCAGAAGTCGACGGACCTTCCTGAGGACAAGGGGGCCCTTTGTTCCTCTTCTTCTTAGAGTCGCTCTGGTGCGCTGGCACCTGCAACTCCGTGGTCGTGGGCGACAGTGCTCCCTTCGACTTTGTTACAGCACAAAGCTGATTCACCGTCGTCGTCAGCTGAGTCGTTTGTTGGGCAACGACCTCAACCTGTCGACCCCGTCCACGCTGAGCTCGCTGGCCTCCTCGACCCCCTTTGGCTCATCCACCGAGGAATAGGTCTTCCACAAATTCGGCCTCGAGCTCTGACTCTTCAGCCTCGTCCATGAAACAGTCGTAGAATACAACATCATCATGGTCCAAGCAAATAGTATGATCGATCAGATCGCAGTACGTGTCGCAGTATTCTGCCCCAGCACGAGGAACTGGCCCGTCACCGCCACAACGGGGGGCATACTGCATCGATGACCATGTTCATCCCCGCTCGCACATAAATCAAAGATTATTTCCATCATTGCAGGGTCGGTTCGGGCTGTTACCGCCCCCTGTATCTCACCTGCGGCCTCGTCCACCTGCCCGCATGATATCGACAATATGTATGCGATGCTCAGACAAACCGCAATAAGAAGACAAACGCGATTATTCACGTGACAGAAAATCCATTTGGTCCCGGGCGGTTACGTCAGTCGGGGCCATCACGTCTTCGAGCTGTTCGATCGCAAATGAAAATGAATATCTTTCTTTTCGGCCGAACTCGCCCGCAACTCCTCCTCCTCGCCGTACACAAAAGTTGGCACAGAAATGTGTGGTATCAGGTTGCTCCCTTGGTGTTTCCCGCACGGCAAAGGAAGAAGAGCACGCTTGTTTGCATATGAGTACGTGGTTGCAACCAAGATCCCACCGAAGGTATGTGCGAACACTGCAAAGGTGTTCCGCGCGTGACCTCATGCGTGCACTCTGCATGCTGATACACCTCCAGACATGGCGAATACGCACATTATTCGTTCACGCCAGATACACACAGCAACATGTTGATAAGATTGTTGTTGGCCCTTTGGGAGTGGATCGCGCGTGTACGTATGATGTTGGCTCTTCGTCTCGACGACGAGGTCACACCCTTAGGATGGCTAGGAGGCATCACTTTCGAGAGACAATCCCACGGGCGGAAGCAGAAGCTATGTGGCTGGGGAAGTGTGTCCTAGCTTCCCCCTGGCCTTTACAATAAGCGGAAGGGACCCGTGGGCATGCGGCTGGTTCCCTTGGAACTTTCGGGCAAGACGATCCCTCAACGGCTTGCTCCGAAACGCATTCTAAGAGTAGGAGGAGGAGCAGGAGGAGGAGGGGGGCGGAGGGAGAGGTGTCTGGAGGAGAGGGGAGTGGAGGGAGCGGGGAGGGGAGGCAGAGGGGGGTGGGGAGGGGGAATGGAATGGAATTGAATGCAACAATCGCGAAGCGATGAAATGTGGAACAGCTGGCCTGAGCATTCGGCTCGGCTTGGCTTGGATAACCCCTGGGCCGCTTGCCCCCGTGAAGAAATCAAGTATAGTCTTCTGAGACTCGGGTGGCCACTGTCAACTGGCTGACAGGAGCGCGGCCACTCAGGGCCTGTCCATGGGTGCGCACTGGCGAGGATGTCGAGGCGGATCCAGCCGTGGCGACGAGGGCACCCCCGGACGCGCAGAAAGGGCAAAGAACTTCCAATGATATCGAAGGAGTTCGGTTATCTTTCAGATCGTCCTGCAAGAAGGCAGGATCAGATCAACATCGAATGGGAGATGCGATCGAACCAGAACGTGTGTCAGATCGGGCCGCATCAGCACGGAAACGAGTTCGAGTCGGATCCGTCTTCGCACGGACGCGTAAGACAAGTACAAGCCAGAACTAAAACACCAACCCTGAGGTACCACAGGGGGAACGCATGTAGAAGAGACTGCACCGAGAAGAAACACCCACATGCACATCCACATCCACAGCTGCGGGAGTCCTACCTTGGATCCTGGTGGAACGGTGGATATGGATACTTTCCACCCTCGTCCTCGAGATCCCAGGGTACGACTCCGAGGCGGCGGATACGGGTATACTCGCGGTCGCGGCCAAGCTCTCGCAGAGTGCTGGCCTTTCGCCTGTGACCGTGCCGGCGCCAAAAGCAGCTTCATACCCGCCATGTGCACCGCCGGCGACCGTGGCCGGCGCAGCCGAAGGGACCGCGCACAACGGCGACCCGACGGCCAAGAAGGATATCGTCGCCGCGGTCAAGCAGCTCGAGTCAACGCTGGCGGCCATGCAAGACGCCCACGAACTGCAGGAGGCGCGCCAAGCTATCCAGGCGCGCCTGGACGCCAAGAAGAAACAGCTCGGGGACCTACGGCCAGTCGGGAAGAGGCTGGACGAAGCCCGTGCTGCCCTGCAACGTGCGTGCAAGCGCCAGGCTGCGTGCAACGTTGGCGCAGAAGGCTGTCGAGGCAGCGGCCGAGGAGGTGACGTCTCTCAAGAAGGCCGTGCAGGAGCTGGAGCAGCAGGTGTCGTCTGCGCAAGCTACCCCCCAGCCCGCCCCGATGGCCGAGGGCGCCCCGCTCGACCTCCCTGAACAGCAGCTCCACGCAGCACGGCATGCTCTGAGCCAGTGCGCTTCCGTCTCGCCTGCGGCGGTACAGGAGTCGGAGGACCTCTTCGCCAAATTCCAGGTGACCCTCGAGCATGCCCGGGCGCAGCCAACGCCGCGACATGCTGCGGGCAAGCAGGGGCCCCCGCTCCTCCGCGAGCGGCTCAACGGCAAGCAGCCAGCCAAGATGCGCACCACGGGGCCCTTCACCAAGCAGGTCGGGCGCCGTGGCCTAGCCCAGGCCAGGCCTTTTGTCCCCAGCCCGGGTGCGGGGTCAGCGCAGGCGTAGCCTATGCTGACGATCTCGCGGAGCAGCCAGGCATTCTGGGCCCCCGCACGTGCGGAGGAGATGATCCTTCCCTCGCGGACGTCACGGCATCGACTGTAACATTCTCATGCGCGAGCGCGAATGTTGTAGCAATGCACCCACACTCACTCCCGCGCTCCTATGCCAACATGAGAACATGAGTGGTGTGTGCATGCGCAGAAAGGTGACTCTTCTTGAGCAGCAATTTCACGATCGATCCATTGACGTAGTTGGTGTTCAAGAGGGGCGTTCTCCGAACTCAGAGCAGACCGATGGCCAGTACTACACCTTGCTGGCTGCCGCGTCTAAGCTCGACGGTTCCCTTGGAGTGCAATGTTTTTTTGTTCAGCGCTATTTTGGAGAAGGGGGAGGAAGAGGCGAAAGGGAGACCGCGCCAACGAGCGACCACCACGAGGAGCTGGCAGGCCATACTGCCACAGGACCGTTATCGCCCTGACTCCCATTCGCAAGCATGCCACTAACACCGAAAACAAAAAACGTGGAGTCGGCAGGTAAACCTGCCGCAGGACCGTCATCGTCCTTTCCTCCTGCAAGCGGCGTAAACGCTGGGCCAAGCGGACGGGGGGGAGAGAGGACAAAAGGAGAGAGGGCAGAGAGCGGATGGGTGTATGAAAGCGTTGTGAATGCACATCCCCATGATCCGACCGATCACTCATATAATCGGGCATCGCACAACAGCAAACAAGGAACCGCGGCACAGTGCAGCACTTGACACAAAACCGGAACCTAACCCGAGTTCCAGACTTGCTACAGAAGTCAGGCGTTGGGTGCGTGCACTCACCAACCGAGTTTCTAAAGCATGGGGTTGGGCACTGAGGTGCCCGGCCAGGCGCGTGACTAAACCGCAGCGGCTGGAGTGCGAGCCGGTGCCGACGGAACAGACCGGAGTCGGCCAACAACGGCTGCAGCAAAGCATGCGCGCCCTGCCTGCGCAAGCAGTGGCAAACAAGCCACTAATTCGAGGAGGGAGGGGGAGGAGGACGAGGAGGCGGAGGACGGAGGAAGGAGGGGAAGAGGGCGACTGCACGCTCAGGCCGAGCGTTCGGGGCTTCCCCAGCCGCTGAAACACCTGCTGGCCACGATCAGCCCAACGGCATCACGAGTAGGAAGGAGGACGAGGCGGAGGGAGGACGGTCCCTTGGAATGCAATGTTGGGTCCACCAACGTGCCCACGTGCACTTCTGGCATGCTGACTCTTCCCGCGTTCTTTACGCGGTGGTCCGCGTTGCTCATGCTCCGCACTCTCCGGCCAGTGAGTCTGTCCGTGTCCAGTGGTGGGCGGAGCTCACCTGCGTGCAGCTATAGCCACTTCAGTCGCAACCCCTGCCGTGGATAGTGCTGCTTGATGCGAATGGCCGGGTCGGCTCAGTGCCCTCGCGCGTGGCAGGCCCCACTCAGACCGAAAATGAGAACTCGAACGGAGCTTTGCTACGCACATGTGCCGAAGACTTCTGTTTGCGCGTCAGCAATACTTTGGGAGAGTGCGGGCGCACGTGGAAGTCCACGCAAGCCACCACTTCTCGCTTTGATTATATACGTGTGCCGAAAGTTATTTTCGTCAACATGACCAACATCGTTGTAGATCGTAGCATTGATTGAAACTCTTTCCTCCGAAGACGATCATAATGTCGTCGTGTTGTGCGCGAAGGCTGTCCCATCTGACGCTCAGCGCGCTATCAGCCCCGCTAACAAGCACAACCTTCAATCAGTGCCACGTTGTGAACGTTTTCAACAGCTCATGCGGCTCTTTCCGCATGTTTCTCCTTCGTTTACGTTGATGACCACGTTGCACTTTTGAAGGCATGGACTCGGTGGGCAGCTTTGCACAGTTTCGGTCCCCCCGACAAGAAGCCCAGAAAGGCATGGCTGTCTTCTCGGGCTTGGCAGGTCATTCCACACATTGCTCCCTGACCCGGCGCCCGCTTGACAGCCACCACCGCCAGGCGCAAAGCTTCTTAGCGATTTTCTTGCACGCATGGAGCAGGTCCAGAAGGGGTTCTAAAGGTCTGGAAGGGGTTCCGGAAGGAGACGTGCATCACGGCGTTATTTTCCAGCTGCGCCCAATCATTGACGAGGATCGCCGCGCGTATCTGGATTCTCTCGCCGCGAGCGCTTCGCGTGCCATTGATGCTCACGATGTTCGTCAGGCTTTCGCAGTTCTGCACGCCCTGGGAGCCCGCGCCCCTCGCCCGGGCCGGTGTTCGCGCGACGCTGAAGGCGCCTTGACATCCACAAGTGAGGTGCTTCGTGGCGAAATCATAGGCAGAGCCTTGATGAGGCTGCCTTTTCCACAGCCTCTCACGTCCGCTTCCGCCCCAGGATGCCCCCCTTCTCCTTCTCGACCTCCTGTTCCTCCCGCCTCTTCTTTGATGTAGGTCCAGAGGCCACTCGGCGTGCCTACCAGGCCCTTGGTCGAAACAAGCGAGTCGGATATGATGGGATCCCTGCCGAGCTGCTCCACGCCGGGGATTATGCTCTTGCTGTCTGACGTCAATGAGCGCATCAAAGCCACAGGTGCTTGGGCAGCTCAATGGCGTGGGGGGCGACCCCAAAAAAGTTGTTTAAACGGGAGGACGATACCCTAAATACGGACGATTATCGTAACATTCTGCTCGCCGATCACGCTAGCAAAGGCTTGACGGGTGTGCTGCAGCAGGCTTTGACGCCAGCGACGTTGCCCACCAGCTCCAGTCCTAGTACTGCGCGATCCCTGGCCGAGGCACGGACATGGCGTCTCACGTGTTGCATTCTGCGTAGCGAAGATTTTAATTTTCCTGCTGCACGTTGATCTTGCGAAGGCGTTTGATCGAGTGATACGGCAGTTCATGTATGGTTGAGGAGAGGTGCCTGCGTCTGCCCACCGTTCCCAACTCCTCTCGCTCGGTGTGTCTGAGCCGGCTGCGGATTGGGTGCTCGAGTATCTATCGCAGCACGGCCATCTTGTCCAGCAGTGGGGAATTGACGAGGATGTCGTACGTATGAAGGCGCATGGGCTGCCGTTCCTGATCTCCCAACTTGCGTTACGAGCCACTCTGGAGGGAGGCAGGGATGCAAATCAGGCGCCCTCACGTTTAGTGGAGTCCATGGGATGGCCCTGGACATCATTACGAGACAGTTCAAAGAGAAAGGGATCACCCTCCGTCTCCCCTCCCCGTCCGATTCCTTCTGGGCTCCCCTTCCCAGGGGCCCTGCAAAAGAGTCTGTCCTGGACGCCGCGCTCATTGATGACGAGGCTATTGCAATTACTGCCCGCTCTCTGCAGCAGCTAGATAAGAACCTCGATGTGCTGCTGGACGTGCTTTTCCTTGAAAATCTACACCTCCAGCTAAATGCCTCCCTTGGGAAGACCGAGGCTCTTCTAGAATACAGAGGCCCGAAGGCTACCGCCTGGCGCGAAGCTCGCCGCGATGCAACCGGTCAGCTGGGCGTAAAGGTCCCCGGCAGAGATGCTCACATCCGTGTTGTAGGATCCTATAAGCATCTTGGCACGGCCACTTCCCTCCGCGTCAATGCAGCTTGCGATGCTACCGCAAAAGCTGCCAAGACCCGCACTGCATATGCCCCTTTGTCGTACAAGGTGTTTGGTTCCGTGAAAGTCGATCGCGCACACAAGTTGCACTTTATGCAGTGACTGTTGATGTCTAAGCTCCTGTTTGGCATTCACGTACTCGTTCTGTCTGCGCGCCATTTGAAACGTCTCAGCGCAGTGTACATGACAGTGCTTCGACGTATTTTTGACAAGCCTCGGTTCCAGCATTCTGAGCACACAGATCGCGAAGTGCGCGAGGCATTGCACCAGCCTGCTGTCGAATGTTTGGTCTCTCGTCTCCGCCTGAAGTACTGCGCGCGCTTGCAGCGCACTCGACCTGCCGCATTCCTCGCCCTGCTTGGTGCGAGACCTGCAGGGCACAAGCTGAAGTGGATCCACGCCTTACAAAGAGATGCTGACTTCCTCTGGCCCTACCTCCCGGACGGCTTTCCTGGGTTGTGTGTGAGGATCCTAAGGCCTGGAAGCATCTCATGCAGGACGAAAACTCATGGAAGGTGCTCGTGGACCGCATATTCTTTTGCGATTCGGTGTGCGACGCGACTGGCGCCCTCAGCCAACACCAGGTCGCGAGTCTCGCGTTTGCCATTGCAGAGCTGCTTTCTCCTCCTCCTGGGGGTTGCAGAGCCACCAGCGTGCTCGGCACGGCGGTCGCCTGCTGATACGTTGCTATCTTCCTGGCTCGAAGTGCACCGCGCGTGCCACCGATTTCGTGCAACGTTTGCGATTGATCCCTCACGTGTCCGATTCGCGTCGCCCAAAATGCCGCGATTGGATATTATTGCGCTGCCCTCGTTTGCCTGATTCCGAGGTCGCCAAGCTTGATGCAGTAGCCCGCGAACAGCGCAGGACTGCCCAGCGAGCTGGTTATACCCACCACTTGGCTGTGGCACCCGCGCGCTCTGCTGACGGACAATTCGTCGGCCGAGTTCGCGCCTGAATTCATGAATCCAGTAATGTGAGATCATCTTGAAACTACCACTCCTCGACGAATCAAAAATACTCTGATGGTGGAGAGGTGCGAGGGGCATGGGTAGTATAGAAAACAAATCACAGCTTCATAATTTCGGGCCGGCGCTGGACGCCCCTCCCCACACTCCTCCCCCAGCGCCCGGGGCGGAACCAGATGCGCCGCCTGGGAATGTGGGGAGGGAGGGCCAACGCCGATCCACGAAATCTGGGCGGACAACCAAGCGTACACTTGTGTGGCTGCTATATCTTCGAGAATACGAATGATGCAGAGGATGTCAGCCAGAGAAGACCCAAAACTGTGTGTTTTTCTAGCAATCTGAAATTTAATTATGTTCGCAATTAATTGTCCACTCCACTGCTCGCGCAAACATCCCACCCACCCACCCGCAACTTGGTTTGCAAAACCTCTTAAAACCGTGACGGTGGGTACCAAATGACACTGAACAACAACACCGACGCCGACTACGACAGTGACAACGACGACGACGACGACGACGCTTCCGACAACGACTACGACGACACCGACGACGCCTCCAACGACTTCGACGACGCCGACGACGACGACGACGACGACGACGACAACGACGACGACAACGACGACGACGACGACACCGACGACGACGACCACGACGACGACGACGCCGACGCCGACGACGACGACGACGACGACGACGATGACAACGACGACGACGACGCCGACGACGACGACGACGAAGACGACGACGACGACGACGACGACGACGACGTCGCCAACGAAGACGACGACGACGACGACGACGAGGGAGGACGGAGGACGTCGACGGCGGCAACGACGACAACGACGAAGGAGGGAGGACGGCGACAACGCGAACGACGAAGAAGGAGGGAGGACGGCGACGCCGACGACGACAACGACAAGGGAGGAGGGAGGACGACGACGACGACGACGACGACAACGACGACGGCGATGAAATAGGAGGGACAACGACGAAACGCCGACGAAGACGACGAGGGAGGAAGGACGACCACGGCGACAACGACGACGGAAACGACGACGACGACGCGAAGACGACGACGACGAGGAAAGACAGAGGACGACGACGGCGACGACGACGACGACGAGGGAGGAGGGAGGACGGCGACGACGACGACGACGCAAAAGCGCGCGCGCACGCTTTTGTTGAAAATCCGTGTTGCGAAACCCTGTGTTTGTATGTTTTGGGGACACTCGATTTTGAAATCCGTCCGAAACCAATGATTTTTGAAGTTCGGCATGCGCGCGCGACGACGCGCGCGTGCGCACTTCGTCCCATTGCTTGCTGTGCAAGGGATTCTCGCGATGGCACGCGCGCAAGGGCGTTCGAAAGATTTCGACATGCGCGCGCGAAGCCCGTTTGTTAATATTCTTGACATGTTGAAAAACCAGTGATTTTCTGAAGATTTCCCAAGAGCGCGCGCGTATGTTGTTTTTGTCCGCAAACTCGTGTTGCGAAACCGTGTGTTTTTTGTCTGTATTTTGGACATTCGATTTTTACCCCCTCCGAAACCGAAGGTTTTTGAAGGATTCCGGCATGCGCGCGCGACGACGTGCGCGCGCACTTCGTCCCATTTGTTGCAAGGGACTATTGAACACTTATGATTTTTGATGAAAGAGAATGCGCGCATAGCATATGTTGCAAAAGACGGCGGGGGGAGTGATACCGGTTTGGCTGGGATAGTACGAACTCCATTCTAGGATGGACGATGGGGCAGAATCATGTGTAAATTGCAATACGAAAAAGGCGTCCCGTTAACTCCGGGGCTTGACAGGAGAATCTACGCGGTGCAACTGACTACCCTGCACCGCGCTTGACCACCTCCTTTGCGATGCATGCTTGGCGTTGGTTGATGCATCCCTGCGGACGCGCCTACCTTAGCACGCGCGCAGCGGCCAGTTAGTTTGGCGCCACCGACGCGGCCGCGGTGGCGCTGACCGCCTGGCGCATCCCAGCGGGCACTTCACTGCGAGTCGACTACTTGGGCGGGCGCGGTATCATGGCAACGCCGACTACGGTAGACGCGTTGATGATAGTGGCGGTGCTGGTGACGATGTTCGCACCGACGAAGGAGCGGCCAGCGCGGACGCCGATGCTGATCACGCCGACGACGATGACGGCGTCCTCGCGTCGGTGATGGAGGTTTTGGAAATAGTGCGACATGCGCGCGCGGCCGACGCGCGAGTGGCCCGCATGGTTTCATTTGGCACGGATCGTACCCCCCCCCAGCACGCGCGCAAAGGCGTGCGAATGATGTCGGCATGCGGCGCCAGAGGCCCGTTTGACGGAATTCCATGAAGATGTTGGCAAACCTATGGTTTTCTTTATAATTTGCAACAGCCCGCGCGCAAGCTTTTTTGAAAACTGATGTTGCGAAACCGTGTGTTTGTGAATGTGTTTTGAACATTCGGCTTTGAAATCGCTGCGAAACGGAAGGTTTTGAAGGATTCCGACATGCGCGTCCCATGTCTTGCAAAAGGATTCTCGCGACGGCACGCGCGCAAAGGCGTTCGAAAGATTTCGACATGCGCGCGCGAAGCTCGTTTGGTAGTATTTTCTGAAGTGCACCAATGGTTTTCTTAAGTATTCGCAATAACGCGCGCGCTTTGTTTTGAAAATCCGTGTTGCGAAACCATGTGTTTGTATTATACGTGCTGTTGGACACTCGATTTTCAAATCCTTCCGAAGCCTAAGGTTGTTGAAGGAATTCGGCATGCGCGCGCGACGACGAGCGCGCGCGCACTTCGTCCCATTTGTTGCAAGGGATTCTTGAAAACTGCGGATTGCTGATAAACGAATGTGCGCGCATGACATTTTTTGCAGAGGATGGTGGGGGGGGGGTCGATACCGGCTCGGCTGGGGTGGTATGAACTTATATTTAGGATGGACGATGGGTCAGAATCATATGTAAGGGGGGCCGATAAACCCGGGGGGCGGGATCCTAAGTGTTTTTAGAAAGGGGAATCTGGGCGGTGCAACCGTTGTAAAGCGACGACGGGGCGGCGGCGGGACGGCGACGGCGGGAACATAGCTGCCAGACCGAAGACACGACCAAACAACGGACGGCGACGAGGCGGCGACGGGGGCGGCGACGGCGGAAAACAGCCGCCAGACCGAAGACACGGCCCAATCCCTTCAAGAGAAGTAAGAATCCCCAAGTGCAAGCGCTGTTTGGGGAATTAGCGCGAGTCGGGAAGAGAGGTGCGAGGACTGCGAGTGAAGGCGCGAGCGCGAGCGCGATGACGAAAACACAATCCCCTACTACGGCCCTCCCGCCCAGCACGGGTAGGGTGCGAGTGCGACTCTGAGAATCACTGCGAGCATCGCCGACAATGCCGTTGATCAAGGGGGCGTTTAGTCAGACAATGTGCGCTCGACATAATGTCGCATATGAGGTCCAAGAGTGGAAGGGTGTGTGTGCATGGAAGCATCAGCATGATTCGTGAGTGTGAGTGTCAGTGTGAGGGCGAGTGCGAGCGCACATGAGTGAAAGTACACGCAGGAGTTTGAGGATATTGCTGGCCCAGGACTCCAGCAGCGAACGCCCTGGATCGTAGACCAAAGGCGCCGGCTCCCCAGCAGGGGGCGACGTGGCCTTGGGGCAGGGGCTGGCCTCTTCCCTCCACTCTGCCTCATTATTCCTCCCTCCGTTTCCTCCCCTTCCGCCTGCCTACTTCCTCCTCTTGCGTTTCCTAACCCTCCTCCTGCCTCAGTCCTCCACTATGCCAAGTTGGGGATGTGTATTTTCCTGCTCCTCATCTTCCTTCTCCTCACGCTCCTCCTCTCGAACCCCTTTCCTGGTAGACCATTCCTTCCTGTCGCACCACCAATTGCGTCGTTAGGGCAGGCAGGGTGATTCGCCAGAGAAGTCCCCATCGCCTCCGATCGCGAATTTGACATTTCCAAGAACTGCACGGATGGAAAGCAAATCGCTTCAAAATGGGACCCTCGCCTTCGCGCCGAGTACACTGGTCGTAAAACAATCGATGAATCACGCGAATGAAGGCTGGTTGGTTTTCAAAGCTGGGGTTCTCGCAGAGGTACGGCGTACTCTCGTCTGAGAAACGTTTCAAAGATAATATGATGGAGGTCAGATCCTTCTTCAAAATAGGGGCCTCGCATGGCACACATAAAAAACACCACCACACCAACAGAATTCTGCAGAGATCCAACTTGGGGAAGACGGCCCCTTTTCAAGGTTGGGGCTCTCGCCTCAAACTCCGCTGGCTCCGAACTCGTTTCAAAACCAGCGCTTCACGTCATACGACGTCGTGTAGCGCAGTCAGGAAACCCCGCACTGTGCCAGAGCTGCACGGATGAGGGAGATCCATTTTCAACGTGGGGCCGCCCCTGGGCACGTCCTTGAGCTCTATGACCCCACCTGGTCGCGCCCTTTACACCTCGAAGGGTGGTAGGCTGATGCTGATATAACAAAATGCTCCGACGGCAGAACCCGCATGGAAATCTCCTTCATCCGCGCGGAAGTGATCCTCGTCGTCGTCCCTGTGATTGTGGAGACACTCCTCCTGTCTCCTCCTCGCCCTTGTGCTCCCCAGGCGCACGAAACTATTTTCCTTGGGGGGGACCGCAAGGAGAGTCTCCGGCCTCAGACTGTCTTGCAATTCACTCACTGACGAGGCTCCCGCTCTAGACTTCCTCAGGATTCAATCCCCCGAGGTCCGAAAGTCACGACAGTTACAAAGTTCGAACGGCCCGCATTATACTACAACTCACTTATAGAAACAAGTCCCGCGTGAGGCTTCCCAAGCTGAATGTGTGAGTGCATGGATGGTGAAAGGATATGATGCTGTTGAGGTTGGTAAATATGATGATGATAATGATGATAATGATGATGGAGCAAGCTAAAGCTGAAGATGGTGAGGATGATGGGGATGACGATAATGACGATGGCACTGGCAAAGGGGCTGAAAAGATGATGGCGATGGTGATGATGATGGATGTTGGCAACAAAGACGACATCGATGGTAAAACAGATGGTGAAGCTAGTGGTGGTCAAAATGTTGATGCCGATGCTGGTGCTGATGATGATAATGATGATGTTTATGCTACCGCTACCAATAGTGATAGCGATGGTGATTATGACGTCGGTGACGACGACGAGGATTATGATGGTGTTACAGATGATGAGGTTGTTGACGCAGGTGGTGATGGTGATGATAATTATGGTGAGGATGATGATGATACTGATGGCGGTGGTGGTGATGGTGGTATTGATGGGGATGATGATGTTGGTGGTGGTGGTGGCGGTGATGATGATGCGGGTGGCGGTGGTGATCATGATGATGCGGATGATGCTATTGATGATGAGGCTGGTGGTGACGATGATGAGGGATGATGACCACGATGATCAGGAAGCTGGTCATGGCGGTGGTGACGACGACGATGATGGCAATGAAAATGATGATGGTGGTGCTGATGATGGCGGTGATGCTGGGTGATGATGTTTGTTGTGGGCGCCATGGTCGGGGTACACCACCGATGAAGGGGCGCACCGTGAGGATCGGCACGAAAGGAGGCGGCCATCCCAGCTGCTACGCCCACCCCCCGCCCCCCGAAGCAGCTGTTGACATCGAGCTTGCGACGAAACTGCAGCACAACGAGACGTGCCAAGACGATCAGCATATACCACATGAGGATCCGCTACAGGAAGACCAATACGACCCTCATGAGTAGGACGAGGACCCGAACCAGCTCCAGGCTGAGAGCCCGCGCCAGCTTCATGACGATCCGCATCGAGCCCACGCAGACCCGCACAACCTTCATAACTAAAATCTGCAACCGCACGGCTAGGCAGAGCGAACGCCTCCTCAATCATGTTCGCCTGCCTGCCCAACACGCTCTGGATTAAGGGAGAGAGGGCAAACCTCAGCACGACCTTCAGGAACAGGAGAAAACCACACAAACTCGAGGAAGAGGGACTGCACCAGGACGGTCCACATCAGAAGACCCGCACAACTGTCACCGACCGAAGAAGGATCCGCACCAGTGTCATTAAGACCAGGGGGATCCGCACGACCCTCAGACTGCCAGGAAGGCCAGCACGACTCTCAGCGGACCAACCCGCACGGCATGCGAAAAGAGAATTCGCACGTGCAAAGCCATTGCGTGAAATAGTCTCGTCGCTGATTGTGTTGATGGTGACGGTGGTGATGATGATGATGATGGTCATGGTGGTGCTGGTGATACAAAGTGACATGGTAATGGTGATGACGATGATGGTAATGGCGACGGCGACGACGATGCTGTTGATGCAAATGGTGTTGAACATGTTGATGCTGAAGACGGAGGTGACGGTATTAGTGCTGATGACGATGGTGATGGTGATGGCACTGGTGATGGTTATACTGATGATGATGATGGCGCTGCCGATGACGATAATGATGATGATACAGCTCATAAGAATACTAATAATAACAATGACAACGGGAATGATGACAATGGTGGTGATGATAAGTATAACGGTCATGTTGCTGCGACTGTTACTGATGATGTGGTGATGGTGATGACGCAAATGACGATACTGATGATGACGTTGATGGTGATGGTGGCCACGGTGATGATGACGAAACTTATGATGATGATGTTGATGATGCTGAGGATGATGATGATGATTGCGATGCTGGTGATAACGGCGATGGTGGTGATGATGATGATGATGCTGATGATGATGGTGGCGGTGGTGGTAATGGTGGCGATGCCGCTGATGATTGTGGTGGGGGGGACGGGTCCCGCGCGGTGGGGCGCAGAGAAACCCAAATATCAATCAGGTTGTGGGAATACGGGGTTCCCGCCTGATTTGCGGGCCAATAGGGCGGCCATCTTTCATGGGGAGCGCTTCGCAATGACAAATAATAGCTGCTCGGACGATTGAGCAGGAGGGGGCTTCGGACGGAAACGTCTATTTCTGCACCGTCGACACATATTGGGTGCGCGCTGGCCTCCGCACCCTCCTCATCCCCACCCCCTTCCCTTTACTCATCCCCCCCACTGCCCCAGTCTCATTTCCCCCCCCCCTCCTACCTCCCCCATTATACTCCACTTCCCCCGTCGCCTCCACCTCGTCCTTCGCCGCCTCCTCCACCTACGACCGCAACGACTACTACGACTACTACGACTACTACGACTACTACGACTACTACGACTACTACGAATA